GGTTTCTCGAGTAGCTGGAATTATAGGCATAAGCCACCATGCCTGGCTAGTCTATTTTTTTGGTATGTGTGCAGTGCTGGGAATCGAACCAGGAGCCTTTCACATACTAAGCAAGCACTTTACCACTGAGCCATACTCCCAGCCCAGTCTCCCCTTTTTAAGGTCTGTAACCTTACTTCCATGTGTAAAATCCCTTTTGTTGTATATATACATTTCATGTATATTATAACATGAAATGCACAGGCCTAACAGCAAAGGACAAAGATCCTGGAGCCAAGATCTTGCCTATCTTGGCTGGGAAGACCATTCAATTGAATCTAACAAAGTCCCTGAAGAGGATTTATTGTGCCTTGTCTTTGGCATGTGGAGTGGCACAGGGTTACTCCAGACACAAGCTCTAGAGTCAGTGACCTAGGATTTGAATTCCAATTCTTCTGCTCTAGAGTTCTGTGATCTAGCGCTGTTTCAGAGAAAACTGAGGTTCAGGTAGAAAAGAGGGGTGAAGCCTGTCCCTCTGAGGGTCTTAAAGGATAGATATTGGCAAAATTGTTAGAGGAGGGTCCTTGGCAAGTGGTACATATTCCTTAAAGAGCAGTCAGCATTGTTACCTACCCTCTGGTGTCATCGGATGTGCTTTCTATCCTTCCTGTCTTCAAGGAGGAAGTGAAAAAGTGAATCCTGAGTGGGTGACTCACTCAGCTGGAACTAATCTCAACAGAGAAGTGCCAAGCAGCCTTGCCCCTTGGCCTGAGTCTCCAGTAGTCTTTTCCAGTGTAACTGGCTGTCTTTCTTATCAGATCCTCCTAGCCAACTTCTTAGCTCAGACTGAGGCGCTGATGAAGGGGAAATCAACCGATGAGGCCCGGAAGGAGCTCCAGGCTGCAGGAAAGAGTGCAGAGGACATTGAGAAGTTGTTGCCACACAAGGTCAGCACTGCTCCTGAAGTTGGCTTGGGAGCAGCATGCCAGAGCTGGAGGGATGAAGTCGTAGGGTCAGGGTAGGGGTTCCTAGTGTGTTTGAGTTGTCCTATGGAATGGGAGGATCTGTCCTTCCAGACCTGTTCGTCCCAGCCTCTGAGGCAGGATATCCTCCTTCTGTAGGAGTTTGGGGGTCAGGATTAACCTGGGGATATTTCTTGGTGTTTTCTGAAGGTTTTTGAAGGAAATCGCCCAACCAACTCTATTGTGTTCACCAAGCTCACTCCATTCATTCTTGGAGCCTTGATCGGTGAGTAGAGGAAGATATTAACTTGGGGTCAGTTGGACAAGGATGGGGTATCCCTAACATGCCCTGTTTGCCACTCCTGCAGCCCTCTATGAGCATAAGATCTTCGTTCAGGGTATCATCTGGGACATCAACAGCTTTGACCAGTGGGGGTGAGTTGCTTACTCAGGAGGGTGGGGGATGTCTATGGGTTGTCTTGAAGATTTAGTAGTAACACCGGAGCCTTCCTTATCCCCTTGTTCCTCTCCTTCCTGGCAGAGTGGAGCTGGGAAAACAGTTGGCTAAGAAAATTGAGCCTGAGCTTGAGGGTAGCGCTGAGGTGACTTCTCACGATTCATCCACCAATGGATTGATCAGCTTCATCAAACACCAGCGTGATGCCAAAACTGAATAAACTCAGCTACAGTTCCTGTTGTGACTGGTCCTTCTTGTCCCACCTTGCCAGAGTCTGCGCTGCATGGTCCTGCCCCTCCCTGTCCAGGGCAACCTCTGGTTGAAGACTTGGGCCACACACACCCTGGGGGAAGCCAGTGTGGAATTGCCACCCTGCCCCTTCCTTGTCCACTCTCCCTCTTTTCCACTCTGCTGAAGTGTTTCAGTGCAGCCGATTTTTCTGACCTGTGTTTACATCATAAGCAGGAAAATAAAGATGCCACAAAGGAGGGTGTGGGCTCAGCCTCTTACTGTTTCCTGAGAATGGGACTTTGTATGGCAGTCTGAGCACCAGCCGGGAGGAGTAGAAGGAGCACTGTACCTTGGTTGGCACTTGACTAAGTGGTGAGCAGGTCCAGAATGGAGGACAGAAAGTCAGGAGGTCAGGCCTCTAATCAAGTCCTGTTTTCCTCTCCTTCCACTCCTCACCTTTATGACTTTGGAGAAATTGATAGACCACATTGAGATTATGTCTGTTTCAAGTAATTCCTAGCCAAGAGCAAGGGTGGGTGACATCTCCTAGCCAGATGCTTGACAACTGCCCTTTTATCTTCTCAAGCTATTAATATTTTTGGCTAGTGAAACAGAAAAGGAATTTCATTTAAAGAGTCAATGGATGGAACTGGTGGTCAAGCTAGAAGCTAGGCTTCCAGTACTTATACCCCAGATAGTGATCTGGAAAATAGTCTGGATAAGAAACTGCTTCCTCCCACCCTGTTATTAGAACTGCCTCTGTCCCATCCTCTCCTGGGTCACTCACAATTCAGGGGTATAACTTTACCACTGAGCCACATCTCCAATGCTTTTTATTTTGAGATAGGATCTAAGTTGCTGAGATTGGCCTTGAACTTGGGTCCTCCTGCCTCAGCCTCCTGGGTTGCTAGGATTACAGGTGTGCACCACTGTACCTGGTTAAGTCACCCACTTCAGTCTGGCTTGGTCACATGCCTTCTTAAAGACAGAAACACATCCAAGATCTGTATTTTTTGTTCTTAAAGGGAGAAGGCAAGCCAGGCATTATGTCATACCCTTTTAACCCAGTGACTCAGGAAGCTGAAGCAATTTAATGAGACCCTATCTCAAATTATAAAAAAAAGTTGCAGGGGGTGGGGGTGATGCTGAGGATATTGTTCTGTGGTAGAATACTCCTGGTTCAATCCCTAGTACTCCCCAAAATCTCACAGAAACCCAAAACTATAGTAGTCACATGCTTAGCACTATGTTCAAGGCCCTAGATTCAAATCCCAGCCCCATGTGACACATGCAGGAAGACACTAGTAGTGTTATGAGGTAAGCAGATAAAATATGTGCAGGAGAGGTCACTACCTGTTAGAGAATGTATTCTTGGGTTAGCAAAGAATAAGAATTCTGAAGTCTACTTCTTGTAATAACTTAAAAATATCTTGGGAATTAGCTAAAATAATAATCTATACCTACAAGTTGTCCAATCTAGCTAGACTTGAAGGGAATATCAAGGTCAGACTTCACAGTCTTTTAAAGCTGTCAGGTTGGCAGTGACAAACTAGGAGTAACCAAGGAAAGTGGCAGGTTGGGGCTGGAGTCCAACATTGCAAGGTTGGTGCTTCCTCTGAAGTACAGGTCCTTGCAAACACATTTCCTTTACACATCTTGGATCTATGAATCTTGAAATAGTGCTTTTGCAACTTACATAATTATTTGTAGTGCTGGGGATTGAACCAAGGGCCTTGTGCATGCAAGGCAAGCACTCTACCAACTGAGCTATATCCCCGGCCTTACAATTTTTGGCTTTTAAATATCATGTTTATTGAGGTATAATTTACGTACAGTAAAACTCAACTTTGGTATACAATTTTGAGGGCTTTACTTTTTTTGATACCAGGGATTGAACCCAGGCTTGTTTAACCAAGAAACCACATACATCCCCAGCCCTTTTATACTTTTTGAGACAGGGTCTCCCTAAGTTGCTGAGGCTGGCTTTGAACTTGCAATCTTCATGCTTCAGCCTCCTAAACCCCTGAGATTACAAGCACAAATGCCACTGTGGGATTTACAATTTTTGAGTTTTGACAAATGTATACAGTCATGTAACCACAACAGAAACATTCTTCTCACCTCAAAAAGTTCGTGGCACCCCCTAGTGGCCAATCCATCTCCCCAAACCCAATTCCTGGCTACAATTGATCTGCTTTCCTGAAGTTTTGCCTTGTCCAGAACAGTCTTTTGCATCTAACTTCTTTCTCTTAGCATGAGGCTTTTGAAATTAACTCACGCTGTGCCATTTTAATTTTTTTCTATGCCAGATGTGGTGTTGCATGCTTGTAATTCCAGCTACTTGCAAGGCTGAGGTTGGAGATCCAAAATTCAATGCCTGCCTGCTAAATTTAGGAAGACCCTGCCTCATAAGAAAAAGAGAAAGTTGGGGGATGTAATTTAGTGGTAGAGTATTCCAGCGTTCAATCCCCAGTACTCTCCCCCACCTCCTGGGGAAAAAGGGGAAAACACCAGGTGTGGTGCCACATGCCTGTAATCCCAGCAGCTTGGGAAGCTGAGACAGGAGATTCAAGAGTTCAGAGCCACCCTCAGCAAAAGTGAGGTGCTAACAAGTCAGTGAGACCCTGTCTCTAAATAAAATACAAAATAGGGTTGGGGATGTGGTTCAGTGGTCAAGTCTTCCTGAATTCAATTTCCCATACAAAAAAAAAAAAAGGAAAACACTTTCAGTATGGAAAATTCCCAAGATATACAGACTGACCTCCATGTGCCTGGCATCAAATGTTAACAATTACCAACTCATGGCCAATCTTATTACCCAATATACCACTTCTTTTTGTTGTATCCTAGATACATCATTTTATCTATACACATTTCAGTATGTACTTCTCAAAAATCAGGGACTTTGTTTTTCTTTTCTAGCTAATGGCAGATACTGTTACCAGGACGAAGACCAAAGGCTGCTGGGTTCCCCAGTAACTGAATTGTTATCCACCCACATCAGAAGTAAGAGGGAACATATGGAAAGAAAAATGAATTTAATTACAATTTGGCCAAAACTGGGAAGACAGCTAATTTGCCTTAGTCCTACAGAAACTTTATAATTTATAGGAACAAAGACTAAGAAATATGTATGTGGATTTGGTTGGGCTGTAATAGCCAGAGTTATAATTTCAGTTTTTCTTCTGGTTGTGCAAGTTGGACACAATACCTTTATTTTATTTATTTTTTATGTAGTGCTGAGGATTGAACCCAGGGTCTCTCACGTTAGGCGAGTGCTCTACCGCTGAGCCACAACCCCAGCCCCAATTTCAGTTTTTCAATCTTGGCTGCCACCCGCCTAGAATTTGGGGGCAGCAATTCAGCTTCCATTCTCAGAAAGAGGAAGCTGGAATGGAAACCAGGAAATAGGGAGGGGGAAAAAAAAAAACAACCCGGGGGCTTCTAATCTCAAAGGTGCCCCGTTATAATACCATTATCTGGCCTAAAATTTTATTTTCAGGTAAAGTTTTTTGGCAGGATCTCGTCATGGTAGATGGTGTGTATTTCCTATCACAGCACATTAGAAGGCACAACGTCTGGGCGCTCCCCCATTTAAAGCTATGACACCAGTAGTTACCTGCAGAGCCCTGACCCAGCCCAAACACTTTAAAATGAGACTTCAGCATTCTGAGAACCCATCCTATTCACTGGGCGGGGTCTCGCTGGTTACACGATGCGCGTGCGCAGAGTTGAACCTTCTCAGCTGCCGTACTCCGTCTTTTCACGTGCGAACTAGGTTGTCATGGCGGCTGTTCGGAAGCCGGTGCTGCTCGGGCTTAGAGACCTGGCAGTGCAAGGCAGCCCTACCGGGCCAAGTGCCTGGACTGCTAGCAAGCTGGGTGGCATTCCGGTGAGGGCGAGTGCAGGTGGGGTGGGCGGGTGCCGGCGAGGAGTACGTACGCACTGAGGCAGCGGAGAGGTTGGGGACAGAGTCGGGGTCTGAGCGCTTCCCCCTTCCTTAGGATGCCCTGCCTGCCGTGGCCGCGCCGAGGCCTGTGTGTGAACGCTGCAAGGAGCCACAAACTCTGGTCGTGCAGGTGTACTGCCCCCTGGAAGGCTCCCCATTCCATCGGCTACTGCACGTGTTCTCTTGCGCGCGCCCCAAGTGCGGCGACAGCGGGCCGCGCAGGTAGGCTGGGTGTCACGCCGAGTGGGCGGAGTTGGGGCGGGGTGTGTGGGGCGAACGCTGGGGACTTGGGGCGGGGTCAGGGGAACGCCGTGGGCTTGGGACGGGTTAGCGGGATGGGAGTCCGGGGTGGAGCCCTCATTGTTTTGTTTTTACCCTGAAGTTGGAAGGTGTTCCGCTCCCAGTGCCTGCAGGTGCATGAGAAAGAGGCACAGGTAAAGCAATTGTGATTGACATTATGTTTTTGCTGTAATATGAGGTATTTCCCAAAATATCTTTTAAAACCAACTTTTAAGCTGTGTTCTTTGTGGTACAGTGAAATTGGTTTTGCTCCTTCAGAACCATAAAATGGTTCAGGTGTTGTGGCGCACGCCTGGAAACCCATTTATTTAGGAGACTGAGACAAGAAGACCCCAAGTTCGAGGCCATCCTGGACAACTTAGTGAGACCCTATCTCGAAATAAATAAAAAGAACTGGAGATGTAGCAATAGTCGAGTCCTCCTGGGTTCAGTCCCTAGTACTGGGGGCGGGGGGAGAAAACTCTTGTTAGTTCAAACAGACTTCACACCGGAATTTATATATTTACAAATTACATACACTGGAGGAGGCAATTTCAGGAATGACCTCCTGAACCCCTCTCTCCACTGGCCCATCTGTCAGGCTACCTCTCCTGCAGTCCAGAAGCTTAGGTGTGATCTGGTGAACTGTATGCCATCCTTGTCACAGAATTGTTGGCTTTCCAGTCTTGTTCTACCTATATTTACAGACTGACTTCCTTTTGTTTCTTGGTATTTTTACCACACTCTATCTCAAGTTTATGTCTCTCTCTGGTGGGCCCCATAAGCATACCTCTCATTATATCTGAAATTGTAGCTGCTAAGGAGTCTGAGAACTGAACTTCTTTCCTTTCAATCTTGCAATGTATGAAGCACAACAAAAAAGATTTTGGAATAGATGGTTGAAGAAACTATTTGCTGTATCTGACACTCTGCCCCCGGAAACGTATATACTTAATACTGATATTTAAGTCACCTCTGACCAATGCTATTAAGTAGTAGATGGAGTTTGGGGAGATGAATTGGAGGGACTGGTGAAGGCTCCTTCAGGAAATTGAAGGGATGGGTTGCTGAAGCCAAAGGAATAGATGAAATCTCCTAAGTGTGATTGGATCTTATTCGCCAGATATTCTTCCAGAAACAAGAAAATGGCCTTGTCGCTGAGAACTGGTGTGAAGGTGCAAATGACTGGGGAAGTGACAGTGAGGAGGCACCTCCACCACAGCTTACCTTGGATTTTGTTCATGAGTCTAACTCTGCCAAAGATGTAGACTGCACTGCCCAGCTCCAAGACCTGCGCCTGCAGGACACTGTCCTGGATGCCACTCATTCTGTACCTCCAGCAGAAGGGATGGCCTTGCCTACTATAGTGCCACAGTTCCTGCCCTACTACATCTGTGTTGTAGATGAGGATGATTACAGAGACTTGGTCAGTCTAGATCATGCCCACAGCCTTCTGAGGGACTATCAACAGAGAGAAGGAATTGGCATGGAACAGTTGCTTTCCCAAAGGTGAGACTGCGTGCTGCTGAAGTTGAGAGGTGACTTGGTCTGGAAGCTGCCACAGTAGGTGCTATTGGTTTCGCCCCAGTACCTGGGGGAACTTTTCCAGGCAGAACTTTTGTGGTAGGATCTTTCTGCTTCAGTCTTGAGTGAGAAAAGGATACACAAACAGAGGGCACCTCCTCATCAGCCAGCTTGAGTTAGCTTGAAGATACTTTGGTCTATTTATTTATTTATTAACAAACTGTTCTTTACATTTATTGCTTATATACACAGGAGATTCATTATAAAACTCAGAGGAAGAAAAAATAAGGAAGAAAAAGTTACTTGCTTTAGCATTTTTAAGAACAGCTTTTGTAACTTATTATTATAATATTTGGGGGGATACTTGGAGTGAAACTAGGAGTGCTGTACCACTGAGCTACATCCCAGCCCTTTCTATTTTGAGACAGGGTCTTGCTAATTTGCTTAGAGCCTTACTACATTGATGAGGCTGGCCTCAAATTTGTAATCCTCCTATCTCAGCTTCCCGAGTCACTGGAATTATATGCATGCGCCACCATACCCAGCAGTTACTTTGGTCTATTTATAAGTGCCCTCAAGAAAATGAACCAGGATGACTGGGCATGGTAGCATATGCCTGGAATCCCATCAACTCGGGAGCCTGATGTAGGAAGATTGCGAGTTCCAGGCCAGCCTCAGCAATTAAGCAAGATCTAGACTCAAAGAGTAAAAAGGGACTGGGGTTGTGGCTCAGTGATAGAATGCT